CGAATGCCGTAGCCACTCTCACTAGCCAAACGTGCTTGCTGATTTCCAATAGCTCTTCCCAATTTTTTAGAAATTTCCAGTGATATTTTTCCAACTGTACCGACAATATCATCAGTGCCCTTGCCTCTTGTAGGACCACGTCCCTTCCTCTTCAAAGAATGAGAATCTATGAAATAAATTACTCAAAGAATGAGAATATATAAACAAAAAAACTGAGATTCTATCAATTAAATGTATACATTAGGATGATTTTATATCATAAATATAAAGATAAATTATTACAGTTGGAATTGAGAATGGTCTCATGTGTCAATGTGGTTGCATGTGATGAATTAAGTTGAGATTGAGGCTAACATAATGGGGCAAGAACCTGTAGAGGTTGAGATAATGGAGTAGGAACTTGAACATTACTAGTCTCACATAATGAGGAAGAGATATTAGTTTGTGGAGTAGTCTGAGATAATGGACCCTTGCATGATGCCTTTGACGAGGACACTTTCGAAGGTGGCTCATAGGACGTAGCTAAAATTCTATGTTTCTTGCCGATTCTTGTTCGAGAAGCCATTATCTACCAAGAAAAAAAAGTGATCATTTTCAACCAAAAAAAATGTCTCTATTCTTGACCATTATTTAATGATATTAACAAGTTCAATAATATTAACAAGTATTTAGGATTTGGTTCAGAAATTTTAATAAAAACCCAAAATATGCTCTGTATTTTTTATTTTTTATTTTTTGCCTTTGTAATTAGATGAAAACAAAATCAAATATTCACCCCTAACATAGCAAAATTTACTCCTTTCAAAATTTTACGAGTTTCTAGGAAATCACAGAAACAGAGAAATATTTAGACCAAGTTCTGTTTCTGTCCATTATTTGTGGAGATTATTAATACTTCTCCCAGTCATTAATAAGGTATGGATCACGTACAAGAATATAGAAGGCTCTGGCTTATGCAAGTTCATTGAAAAAGTGAAAATGTGTCTTAATTAATTGCTACCAGATTATGCTAATCATTATCAGAATTGTATCCTTAACGGTATAGCAAAACAGAGCTATTTCATGTGCCTATTTCATGACATTTCAAAAATTCAGGAATTTCACATTTGAACACGGTAACAATATAGTTCTCGGGTTTAGTTGAATCACTTGAAAATTACTTTTTTTCGCTGTATAACCTGATTCTAAGAGAGTCACAGGAAATGCTTTTGATTATAGCATTTAAAACTTGTAAACCGAAGACAGGAGTCAAGATTTGCAGATGTATGATTTTAAACATGCAATTCTCAATTATCAATCAATCAATCAATCAGCAGTCGAAACACAAAGAAACAAACACAACACGATTAATTGTTTTGTCGAGTTCGGTAGGTAGTTCAGGACTTCCCTTAATTGCCTTTGAGTCTCCTCAAGAGGTTTACTAAATCTCTGCACTAGAAAACCCATCAAATCGAAAACATATATAATCAAAACTATTATGTCTGTACAATAATCTATTAATGAATACGTCTTTGTTTAAATCTAATTACTACCCCAACATCAGTGCATTTGATAAAAAAATAAAAATATGCGAGTATCGAAAAGATTTATACAATTTTCACAACAAGCAAACACCATGAACTGTTCTAAAACTTGAGATGGGAAAATATATTAAAATATATTATGCGACATATCAAAAACATTGTAAAACATATTTCACGACAAACATTACCTATTATTGAAGATATATTACTACGAGCTTGTATTGTCGCAAAATAAAATAGCTAGGTAGCAAAAATTACACCTTTAAAAGAATATTCGCAACAAACATTTTTTCTCGCAAGAAGGTCATTGGAATAATCCTTACGACAAACTTTCTTGTCGTGCTTTTATTTTTTCACTACATGTATGTACGACAATATGACTACAAATATCGTGTCGTTAATTCGTATTTTTTGCGTCAAACAAATAGTGTCGCGATTTTGTTAATGCGATAAATGGCCAAAAGTCGTCGCAGAACACATTCCGTGACTCGTATAGCGCGACAATACCTTCAATAAAGATAGTGTCGTTGCTAAATTACTTTTGCAACAAAATCTTTTTTGCCATAAAATTTTGTTGTCGTGAAATTATAATTTTGTTGTAGTGTAAGCTATATAAATCAAGTTAAGCATACATATTTTTGACGAGCAAAAAAGAAATTTGGTATAGATTGCAAGCATTGTAGTACTTCATAACAAAAAGTAACGTGCAACGAGTGCCCATGTTATTTGCCACATAATATTGTTTGAGATAGTGCCTTAACTTTCTTTGGAGGCATTTGATCTATTTTTCTAACAAATTAATTGAAACATGGAACGAAGAAAATATCTATATTCGATTAACTTATTAAGGCATTTGATCTATTTTCTAACATATTTACCATAATTGGACCTTAACTTCTCTCATTTAGCAAGTTTGATATTTAGCCCCGAACATGTTGGACCATGACCTATTCGAGAGAATAGAGTCTCGAGTAATCTGATGGCTTTTTCTGTGGACATAATGAATAATACAAGCATAAGAAACTTGTTTTTATCATAACATCCGTAAAGTTTAAAAATAAGGTATACACCAAAATACATGTATTGGACTTTAAGTTCATCAAAGAAATACATACGTATTGAATATGTTGACCCTAGGATTTATCTTTGTCAATTGATTAAGGTTGAATTTACGAACTTGAGTAAATGCTCTATCACATTATAATGATATGATTGGCTACTCCCACCAATTGGAGTTAGTCTGTGTATCGTGATAACTAAGATGCTATGTATACCATGAGGAACATTGACTGAATTTCAAATAAATATGTAAATTTACTAAGGTTTACAGGGACGTAGATTGATTGCTCCTACCGAATAGAACTAGGTAAATCTTGTATAATACACACATTTATTAATCTATATTTGTTCTAATTTTAAAAATTCTCCAACTATCGTACGCTAATCGAATATATAAATTGTTTATGTCATCTCAAAACTTATTTCGAGAACTACATTATGGGCATATCGAATAGTCCAAACAGATATTGAAAATAGTTAAAAATACGTAAAACGTGAGTCTTAAAAAAAGACGTCAACTCCCATTTTTTCTAAAATTCAATTATTTCATTAACATTTATTATTTTTGCGATATAAATTTCTCAATGTAATTTTCATCATTTTATTAGGAAATTTCATATGAAATATGACATCAAAAATTTTCGAAATTTACATTCGAAAAAGTCATATCTTATGTAAATTTTCGGATGTAAAATTATATAGGGTATGATTTTTTTGGACGTAAATTTTCTATTGTAAAATTTCTCCCAACTTCTTTGCAAGTTCGATTGTGC